GTGTTCTGTCTGAACCTCTGGCGCGGTGTTGACTCACCCGTAAGTTGATTTATGTTTGTTTGTGTTCTATTTATACTCTAATGCAGCGTGAGCTCAGTAACTAACTACTTACTCCAACTACAAAACGTACACTCACCTTAGACTCCTGTATTTTGTTAGATGCAGTGTTTTTCCTTATGCACTTCCAAAATGTTATGCCTGGTTTTCTCAAAGTACTGTTGCGGGAAGTAGCTCCTTTTAACTACTCCAGGTCAGGTCAGGATAATCGAGATCAATCTTGCTACTGGTATCACGTAACCCAGTACCACCTGCCACAAGCCCTGCTGCCTTGCAGAGTGTGCTCTTCTTATGCAAAGGCTAGGAGAAATAAACTCCGACTAAAAATTCCTCTGCCTTGGGGCCCTTGGTTGAGTAAAGGCTAGAGATGGTGTCTCGATAAAAACACTCATCTTGGGCAGATGTTAACTGCATCCAGCTAAACATCCCCTGCCTTGGGGCTCTTGGTTGAGTAAAGGCTAGAGATGGTGTCTCGATAAAAATACTCATCTTGGGCAGATGTTAGCTGCATCCAGCTACTGTCTTGTAGAAGGCCTCCTAGGCAAAGACTTTAGGGGTAAGCAAAAAAATTCTGCTAACCAGCCTCAAACCCCTTCTTCATCTATTAGGCTGGCGTAGATGTAACCTGTGTTACATTGTTTCCTGCCTAGGATGATGAATGCTGGATCTCCTTGACTCTACTCATAGAATTTTGCTTATGCCTCCTTGATAATGGCTATGCAACTCTTCCTGTTATCTCCATATGAGGGTACAGCTCTAAAACTCAGTTTAATGGTTCTGAAGCCGGCTGGTAGTAAGGTTTCCTGAACTCTGTGGTAGCTCTCAGAGAGGCTGATACCATCAACAGCTGCAAAATATCAGAGTATTAACAGTGCCATGTTGCGCATGGATGGTGTCCCTGTTAATGCTTTTGGTGTGCATTGTCAAGGCCACATAAGGAGCCCTATGTCCTTGACTTATGTCTTGTCTCTGACCCTAGCTTATGCTCAGTTTCTCCCTTTTCTCCCTTAGGTGGTTCTGACCATGCAATGATCTCTATAAATCTTTCTTCTCGTACTTCTTTTTTGGGCTCACCTTATCATCGCACCACCTACTACTACCCTAAAGCTGATTGGGATTCCTTTCGTGATTTTCTTCGTGATGGTCCTTGGGGTGATGTTTTTTCTCTCTCAGCTGACAAATGCGCCTCCTACGTAACCTCCTGGATTCAGGCTGGAAGGGAAGCTTTTATTCCTTCTTGTTGGTTTCAAGTCAAGCCTCACTCTACTACATGGTTTTCTCCTTCTTGTGCGGCTGCTATATCCAATCGTAACCATTTTTTTCATCTTTTTCAAAAGAACAACTCTCTTGAGAACAAACGGCTATTTATTATTGCAAGAAATCGATGTAAAAAGGTGCTTTTTGATGCTAAACTCCATTATTATCAGTTCACTAAATCTCGCATCTTATCGTAGAAGTTAGGCTCTAAAGACTTTTGGAAAATCTTCAACAGCATTGTTAACAAAGGTAGATCTAACATTCCATCTCTCATTCATGGGACTGATCTTGTTACCTCTCCCAGGGATAAGGCAGAACTGTTTGCAAAGAACTTTTCTTCTAATTCCACTCTTGAATCTTATGGACATTCTCTTGCTTCCATTCCAGTCAAACAGGTTGACCCATTGTTAGACATTCAAATCACTCCGGCTTCTGTTGCTAAAGTCATATCTCAATTAAACTCGTCTACAGCTTGTGGTCCAGACAACATTCCTGTCACAGTCTTGCAGAATTCTTCTCCAGAACTTTCTTCAATTCTCTCTAAACTATTTAACAAGTGTTTGACTGAGTCTTGTTTTCCTGCTTGTTGGAAAATGGCATCTGTTGTTCCAATATTCAAAAACTCTGGAGAAAATTCTGACCCCTCCAATTATCGTCCAATCAGTCTTCTTTCTGTTATTAGCAAGGTCTTTGAGTCTTTAATCAACAAATTCCTCACATCTCATCTTGCGTCAAATAAACTGCTGTCAGACAATCAATACGGTTTTCGATCCTCTCGCTCTACGGCCGACTTGCTAACTGCTGTAACTGAAAGATTTTATTGTGCATTAGATGGAGGCGGTGAGGCTAGGGCTATTGCTCTCGACATATCTAAAGCTTTCGACAAAGTTTGGCATGCTGGCCTTCTCCATAAGCTTGCTTCATATGGTGTTTCTGGGAAAGTTTTTGAGATTATCAAATCATTTCTTTCTGACCGGTTTATTAAAGTCATCCTTGAAGGCCAACACTCTTCTTTATTTCCAGTAACTTCTGGGGTTCCCCAAGGTTCCATCCTGGGCCCTGTTTTGTTTCTTATCTACATAAACGATCTTCCTGACAACCTTTCATCTAAAGTAGCTCTTTTTGCTGATGACTCAACTTTATACTCCTGTCTTGACAAAAAGTCTTCTCTTTTCGATCGCCTAGA